ATTATAGGTTAATAGTTGTTCCTATTTGTTGTATATACAGTTAGATCAATTAGGTTCTTTAGATACATAGAGATTGTATTCTGTCTAGATAGGTATTCTTCACCCACTTCAAGGATCTGTGGAACATAGCATTTAAATAACTTAGGCTTCTGTTGACACAAGACATGATTGCTTTTGACAGCACCAATCTATTCCTGAGAGAATGTTGAGCACCAAAGACTCTCCACTTGGAGCTAGTTTTCTTCTTGGCCTTTGGGCAAGGAACTGACAATGCCTCAACCACTGACAAGTTACATAGTATCCGGAAATGGATAAGCAGGGCTGTCAAATCCTGCCAAGACAGGGTAAAATTGTTTTGAAAAATTTCCTGCCTCTGAAAATGGTCTGTCAGTTGCAGTAGGCCTTAGCCAAACTTGGTTGGTTCAACGTTGCAAAATGAGACTTTGGATGATTGCTTAGGTAGCTAACTGTCTCTGTCATATATTGCTTGCTTTGGAAGCTACTTGATTGTACTTCCTGCCTGCTCAAGTAATATTATCTCCTTTCTCAGGCCTTTGATTGGGTTGAAGATTAGATAGTAGTAGTTACTGTACTCTTATAATCTAGTCAAGCCATTTCCTATACAAGACTTAGACTCCATAGGATAGAATGTTTATTAAAACATTTAGCATATGTTCCTTGCTTAATATTGTTTATGCTGATTGCAATTCTAATCTTATACTTGATATCTGTTCCTAGTGTATATTGTTTTGTATTGGGTTTGTAACTCTCTTACTTAAACAAAAGAGGGAGGTGCTGTGGGAGCTCCTTCCGCTCCTTCAGCCAACAGCCTTTAAGATACCAGCCCACTGGAGTGTAGTCTCTTATACTTTAAAAAGCAGTGGGAACTGGCGATCTTTCTCTTGCTTCTGGCTCCCTTTCTGGCTGCTAGACTCTCTGTTTCCTGTTTGCAACGAGAGGACTGTTGTTTGGGATGGTCATCTGTAAGTTTTTCCCCCTTAAATAAAGAACCCTCTTTATTATCCATAATTCTTAACTGGTGTGGGATTGTTTTGAGGCTTCAACACTGTTGTCAAGTATCTGGCTGTCATGGGCTATCACAAAGACAGTTAGAGGGTACGCAGAGCAAACTGGGTGCAGTGTGAATGGCTTCCACCACGAGTATCTTAGAAACAGGCTACATGGCAACTGTAATTAATCTATTTTCTGATCTTTCAGGTGGGAATTGTACTCAGCGATTATGAGATGTCTCAACCAGACACTCTCAGCTGCATGATCTAAACAGGTGGAAACAGCAGCAGAAAGATGGTTTGTTTTGACTAAGAGCAGGGAACTTGGGAGCCTGAATCACTAGATGGAAGGAAGGGTGATAAAGGGAAGTGATCACGTGGTAACCACACGCCCAGATGCACCTAGAATCAAAAGGTCCATTAGTTTGGCCATAATGAGGATTTCCAAGGAAGCAGGTGACAAATTCTGAACTGGGCTCCCGAAAGGTGAAGGCAATGTGTAGAAAGCATAAAGGAGGGAAAGGTTTTTCCTCCCAAGTCAGGGGAAACAATCCACAGAGTCCTAATGAAGAAAAGTGAGAATGGTGGCAACTGGAACCAGGCAAAGCAGGCAGACACCAGAGATAGTGCCAGAAGAATAGCAAGACAGCTTGGCAATGACTTGCTGGGGTGGCGGTATTGGTAGAAAAAGGGAGGGGCGAAGCACAGGACAGAAAATGATGTGAGAGCAGGAAGGTGGCGTGTTATGGGGGTGTAGGGGTGGGCCTTTGGGGGAATTGGGGAAACTGATGTTTATAGACATTAAAAATTTGAATTAACAATGGGAAACCAAGCAAGGCATTCCAAGCAAGTTTCAATTATGCTTGTGGAGACAAGGTAAGAGGTTAAGGCCAGAAACACAGTTTTATGAATAACATCCAAACAGGTTATTGCTGAAGCCAGCAAGAGGTGTGAGTTACTATCAAGAAAATGGGACACTATATTAAAATACTTTAGGAGGCTCAGCAGGCAAGACTGTCTCATCAACTGAATAAAATTTAAAAGAAGTTCATTTAGGGCAAACAGCTCAGAAACACATGCAGTTAGGCCAAGCTTATGATATTAGCTCTATTTAAATGATATTAAAGAGGAAAGCTGTGTATCCTGAGAAATGCACCTAACAGGAAGGTATACAAAGATTGGAAATGAAAAAAGAAAGACATGGAAGCTTTCATTACCAGGAAAGTATGAACTGAGAGAAGCTGATGTAATGTATTAACACCAGATGAGCTGAAATACAAGGCGGAGACACTGTCAGGAACGAATAAGGCTGTTGAAGAATGGCAGACAATGACGCACTAGGAAATACAGCCAACTGTAAAGTCTTATGAGCCCAGGGACACAGTCTCAGAACACATAAAGGAAAAATTTGACAGAATTTCAAGGAGAAATGGATGCAATCTCCCCTGGTAATAGAATTTAAATTCTCTTAAAAATGACACAAAGGAAAAATAACAAAGCTTCACATGGTGTGGCTTCAATGGGCAAAAACTACGAGAGAGGGAAGGAAAAGAGGAGAGGATGCAGAAGTTTGAGGATGAGAGGAAAACGGTGCCACTGAGGGACTGGCGAAGTGGGAATAAAGGTGGACCCCTCAGGCAGAGTAACAAAGAAGGTTGTTGTTGAAAAGAAAAAGCAAGCACCCTTCCTAGGGCAAGACCACAGAGGAAGTATGGAGTGGGGGGGTATGTGGCCCACGTTAGGTGAACCCTCTTAGAATACCCTTTCCTCTGATACCAGAGAAAAAGGAAGAAACCTGGATCAGGATATTTTGTGATGGGGGAAGCAAGTGGACAAGTGTATGGGCTTTGACTTCTCTGAAAGGCAGCCTCTGTTGAATACGAGGGGAGGAGTCATCCATGCATTTGCTCTTTCCATCTGGTAGCGTTCATGCGTGCAGATTTGGCAATACAACTTTAAAATTCACGTGTGAGTAGAGGGGAAAATGCCTGACCAGCCCGAAGACTGCTGGTTTCTTAGAGGCACGACAGCGCAGGCTTTGCATAAGCAGAGGAGAAATGAATTTTAAGAACTATACGAAGCTAATAGAATGCACAGGGCTGCTTCCCCTGCCGGAAACATCGACAGAGCCATCTAAATATGTGTTCTTAGTGATGTTCTTTACTGTGTGAGCTAATCAGCTGTGGTCAGGGGAACGATGCTACATTAGCCGTAGAACTTGGAGCTTTAGTTGAATTAGGTAGATTTGCTGTAGAAAATTATATCTCACAGAGCTTGGAAAGGAAATCAAAGAACAGCTGAAGTGTAAGAAGGAAGAGGGATTTCACCTTGCGGTGTCCTGTTTGTTCTATATGCGGTGTGCTACAGTCTGGTGAGTGCTGATCAGTTTACACCAAGACCCTCCCAACTGGCTCTCTTGGATTGTATGTGGGTGCCTTACCTCTGAGGGAGGCGATACCCCAATTTGCTCTTCTGCTTCCCCCAAAAGAGAAACTACTACCTTGTGTTCCCCTCATTTGTAAAGCATCGAGTACTGTCCACACTGTCCCTCAGAAATGGAAATCATTTAAATTAAGTACAACCTTATCAGCCCTTGTCGTTTCTGCCCTAGAAAATGCACACAACCTCTTCCTCAGGGTTCATGACGAAATGATAATTATCTAGCAGAATTGTATAGGACAGTCTCATAAAACACCCTGGCAAGTTCATCCAATATCATTTAGTTTTATAACCTCTAACGGCTCCTAGAATTTTTGCTGGGATTGCCTTTCTAGGAAATTTCAAGGCAACTCAGAAGTCTAGTCATGGTGAGAGTTCATCATTAGCTTTGACCTCACAGTCAGAACAAAATCAGAACTCAGAAGAAAATCCTCCCAAGTCTCACGGAAGGAACAAGCATGACAGTCTCATGGCCAGGGACTCTAATGGCTTTTTTGGCCTCTTTCTACCAACTGTCAGGGTATGAATGTGGCCATATAGATATTCAGAAATTTTTAGAGATGTCTCCAGTTTCTCTGTTGTCATCCCAAGCCTGGAAGCTTCTGGAAGCCTTGATTGACAGGGGTGTGTGGATGTCTTCTGAAGAATGCCTTGTTTATTGAACCTGTCATTTCATCTAAATGTTTGGCTGCCTTCATCACCGGCTCAATTAGCCTTTGAGAATAGTTTGTTTCCTGAGACCCTGACAGGAATCTTCCCAGAGTGGGCAATTCACTCTTGTCAGTTGGAATGAGACAACTGCTGAATAAAAATACTGGCCATCATTGCTTTTACGTCTCATTTTCTCATTGCTCAGCAACTGAGCCTGAGCTTCCTTAAGTGAAAGGCGAAGGTACTATTTGTTTCTCTTACTGGGAGAGTTGAAAAGATCACCTATGTTAATAGCCAGGAAGACTCAACTCTCTGCCTGGTATATATTAAAGGGTCCTTAGTGTTAGCTTGTGTTGTTTCTCTTCCCTGCCAGAGTGTCTCTGCAGGTTACTCCACATCTGGAATATACTTCTAAATGATGTAAGAAACATTTGCGCAGCATCTAGATAGCACTACAGAAACTTTACACAGATGTTCCAGGGCTTCTACGGTACTCAATCCATTTTCCATCTGTACTACTGAACATGTTAACTTAGATGCTATATCACTAAATCTGTGGTGACTAGAAACACCCAGTGACTCTCAGTTTGCAAGCCAAGTGGAACCCCACCCCCACGACAGGCTCCACCGAACATTCCCAGAGAAAACGAATTTTATATTCTCCTTGGCTCATTTGGTTGAGTTATTCTGAAGTATTGGGGTGAACCCAAACCAGGAAAACTGTGGGAAACCTGGCTACACACATGTCATTCAAGCCAACACTAAAAAATTCATGAGTTCTGGGGCCAGTGGCACCTCTGGAGGACCGTGAAAGCGAGGCCCGGAGGAGAAAGGGGCACGGGATGGAAGCAAACATTTGGGAGCATGGAGAGTCCCCTGCCACCTACAGGGCTGACATACCAGTTCCTTCTTCTTCATGCATTCCATGAGGATGATGAACAGGTGCTGAGCTTGGGTGCGAGTGTATGTGAAGGTCTTCTGTATTGTCACCAACAGCTGGTCCCTCAAGGATTCATTGATAAGTCTGCAATGAAAACCAAGATCAGTCAGTTCAATACAACTCCTATTCTCTTTGTGTGTGAGTGTGTGTGTGTTATTGTAGTTTATCTTAATTTATACATAATTGCTCATAGTTGATAGGGTGATGTTTCAATACACTAGGGACTATGGTATAATAAATATCTAGCACCTTATGTTTTTTATCATTTTTTGCAGTGATAATACTCAAAGCCCTCCATTCTAGCTACTTCAAAATACCTAGCACAGTGTTCTTTACCATGGTCACCCTACAATGTAGTTGGAACATTGTAGAACACAAGAGAACACTGAGGATTTATTTTTAATCAGAGTTACTTCTGCCTATGTTTTCCCAACAATAGCTCTTTTAATGTGTCAGTTTCCAAAGCAGTGCATTTAAAAATAAATTCGTGTCTCAGAACCTCACAGGGTGAAGCAAGAAGTGGACTTAGTCATTTGCTGCCATTTGCCTTTTTCATAGTCACGTGTTTAATGACTGATACCTCAAATTCTGTTATTAAAGATGCCTTCAATTGCATTGTCTACATCTTGGAGAGGATACACAAACTGTAATGTTATAACTATTAATGGGGACAAAAATTACATCTCAGCAACGCATTTTTCAGCATCAATATAAGATGTGGACATAGGTAAAATGTTTATTGTACAAACGTGAAGATGGGAGTTTGATCCCCAGTACCTTGTAAAAGTCAGATGTGGCATACACCTTGCAATCTCAGCACTGGGAAGGCAGACAAGGAAGAATCTCTGGGGTTCCCTGGCTAGCCAGGTAGCCTAATCAGCAAGTCCCAGGTCCCAATGTGAGACTGTCTAAAAACTGAAGGTGGGTGGCTCCTGAGAAGTAACACTCCAGGTTGACCTCTAGCTTCCACATACATATATACACAGATACATACATGCACATGTATTCCCCCACAGAAACAGGCACAAACAGGCACCCCAAGTGGAAATAGGAATTAGGTTACTACTTTAAGCTAAAGTTTTTTTTTTTAAACTTTAAAAAAGGTTTTACTTTTTTTCCAGTGAGCCAAAAGTTTGATTCATAGGAAGCAGCATTCCCAAAGCAAAGCACGGTTTACTTCAGCATGTCCAATCAATCAATCAATCAATGCACACTTAGGCCTCAGCTACTATTTTTTAACTCCTCCCACTAGCCTGGAGAGAAAGGTATCTGTCAATCACCCAATGACAAGGTGTGAAAACATATTTTTCTATAAAAAGATAACTGTTCTAACTGTTCAAAATCGGGAGAATAGACGCTCTTCTCTGCGACAGTGGTAATCATATTTTCTGCCTATCATTTGCACATTTTATATGGCACACATCACTTTCATTATTGAAGTATCAGCAACTCCTAGATAAGATAGAAAGAATATTATTTCATTTGATGCTGGCAGGAACCCTGTTGGCAAGAGGTTTGCTTAATTTTACGAGCATGGATTTTAGCCAGATGGAGTCGAAAACTTAGATCTGCACAGCCAACAAGCAATGACAGAGCTGGATACTGCCCAATGCTCTTCCATGTCACCCACCGCCTCTCAGCAGCGTGGACCCCACACCATTACCTCCTTCAATGCTGTGCCCCGACAGCAGGCAGTTGTGAGAATTCCTTGCACAGAAAAGCAGGGCAAGAATCTTGAGAATGTCTTTCTATCAGTGACCTGCTGTGGCTTGGATATGTGAGGTTCCCATGAGCACAGAGTGCTGCTCATTGTGGTACCCTTACTTTGAAAAGAAGTGTGAGTCTAAGGATCCTGAAAGTCCTTCATCTGAGGATCAGAAGGTAGGGTCACCTCACATTCACACCTTCCTCGGGAAAGATAGTGCCAAAGGATATACATGCTTAGAGAAAAGGAGGTGCAGATGAGGACGAGAAAGGCTACCCTAAATGTTCTCTCGATATTAAGTGATTCTGGTTGACTCCATGGTCTTGGCTAGAAATCATCTTTCTGCCCATCCATCCATCCATCCATCCATCCATCCATCCACCCACCCACCCATCTGTCATTAACTCATTTAGAAAATTCATGTGGATGTCTACTTGGTGGTAGGCACTGTGGTATGTGTCAGGGATAGATGGATATATGGATATATAGATGTAGTATGATCACTCCCTGCCTCCAGTAGAGTAGAAGGACACCAATTAGGCATTCAGCCACAACTGTCAGTGGTAGAGAAGTAGAGGAGCGGGTGAGAGGTGACCTGGGGAGAACCGAGGAGATGGAGCTTTCCCTGACACTCTCAGAAGAGTGATCATTAGAAAGGGTTGGAACTGGTCAGGGCGGGAAAGTCCAGACAGAATGGCATGGATAGGCCTGGTTTGGAGAAGAAAGCAGAACGGCTGGAGCATGTGGGCACTGTAGTTTAGACACAAAAGAACCCCTAAAGGTCTCTCTGATAAAGGTGCTAGTGGGAGGGGGTGGAAGTGGTTTGAATGACAAAGTCCTTTACAGGATCAGATGTTGGAGCACTTGGTCCCCAGTCGTTGGTACCTGTGTGGGTAGGTTTAGGGATTGAGGACTTGCCAGAGGAAGTAAGCTACTGGGGCTGGATTTTGAGGCGTCAAGGCCACATGCCACCTGCTCTCTCTGCTTCCTGCTTGTGACTTAAGATGTGAACTTTCAGCTTCAGCTCCTGCTGCCATGTCTGCTGCCTTGTCCCTACCATGATGGACTCTTAGCCATCTGGACTTGTAAGCACCAAATAAACCCTGTCTTCTGGAAGCTGCCTTGGTCCTGGCGCTTTATTGCAACAACAGAAAAGTGACTGCCTAATACGGAAGTGCCACCTAACAGAAGGGTTTGAGATGCTGAGACTGCACCCTAAAAGGCTGCTTTGCATGTCCCAGTCACGTGGTTGGATGGTGTTGTTCTGCTCTGTGTTCCCACTAAGATCTGCCATCACACCAATGGGCCAACTATTCCTACATTCAGATGTGCAAAACCGTGACTCCCCAAACCCTTTCTGCTTCTATAAAGTGATCATTTCAGTTGTTACAATAACTAAAAGCTATTGTGGGGGAACAAGTTAAAAAAGTAAGAAAAGATGAGGCTATGGTGAGGGTTAGCCAGGACAAGATCACGGGGGCCTGTGGAGACTATGTTAGAGTTTATTTAGTTTTTGACACACAGTCTTACTGTACACCCAGGCTAGCCTCAAATTCATAATTCTCCTGCTTTCACCTTCAAAGTGCTAGACTTGCGGACAAGTGCCACCACGTCTTGTGAGATCTGTGGCTTTGTCCCCACAGTGGTAAGAAGTGTTTCAGCAGGAGCAAGAGACCCATTTCTACTTGTGGTGCTAATTAACTCTCCTAAGACTCAGTCATACCTGGTCATATGTCTACTTGACAGGCAACCCAGGAGGGTAAGTCCGGAGAGTTCTGCAGCAGCAGAAGTGTATAATGTAGGACATGACTGACTACAGGAGGGATTCTTCTGATTTGCCACTTGATAGGTCCAATCATTCATCGACAGGTGTTTAATTTTGATAACAGCTCGGAATTTGTTCTCTACTGCCAGCCATCTGTAATGAACTCCGAATTCCCTGAAGTCATTAGCTGTTTGCGAGTGCTGTCTGTCACTTCCATCCAGTCTGTCAGCTTGGGAATTAAAGAATGATGTATAATTGACTTAGCCACAGCTTTCAGAACTAGGCGAGCTTAAAGACTCGCCCAAGAGTTCTATAGTTTGGAGTCTCTGTTTCATATCTCTCCAAGGTGGTGGCTTCGGATCAATCACTTAGCAAGAAGAACTTTACAATGGATTGGAGCTGCAAAGTAGACAGGCTCGTTTCTGGTAGAATAGAAAATATGGAGAAGAGAGCCATCACGTACGGAACGGACATGATGGGGGAAGCAAAGGAGACTTGGACCATCTGAAGCATCGTGTTACATTTACTGAACTCCAATTCTGCTTTGTTTCCCCCCACCACATCTTTCTGATTACATCAAAAGGAAAATGTTCTTGGCATGCCTCTGCTGTTTTAAGTGTCCCATTGTTACCAGTCACTCCTCTTAACAGAGAAATAGCACATATAAAGCTCATACGCCTTTGGTTGAAGAGGTTTAATGACACTTCTTCTTTAAGAACAATCCCATAGGATAGGGTCATTTCAGGTTCTCTGACCTCAGCTGCCCCAGGAACTACCACCATAGAACCTTCATCTGGAGATGGATGGAGATAGAGACAGAGACCCACACTGGAGCACCGGACTGAGCTCCCAATGTCCCAAGGAGGAGCAGAAGGAGGGAGAATATGAGCAAAGAAGTCAGGACCACGAGGGGTGCACCCACCCACGGAGACAGTGGGGCTGATCTATTGTGAGCTCACCAAGGCCAGCTGGACTGCGACTGAAAAAGCATGGGATAAAACCGGACTCTCTGAATATGGCGGACAATGAGGTCTGCTGAGAAGCCAAGGACAATGCCACTGGGTTTTGATCCTACTTCATGTTCTGGCTTTGTGGGAGCCTAACCAGTTTGGATGTTCACCTTCCTAGACCAGGATGGAGCGGGGAGGACTTTGGACTTTCCACAGGGCAGGGAACCCTGACTGCCCTTCAGACTGGAGACGGAGGGGGAGAGGAGTGGGGGGAGGGGGACAGGAGAGGGAGGAGGAGGGGAAAAGGGAGACGGGGAGGGAAATGGGAGGCGGGGAGAAGGCGGAAAATTTTTTTTCAATAAAAAATTATATTACAAAAAAGAACAATCCCATATTGTGCATTTCCTGTGTTCCTAGCACCTCCTGGTTTACCAATCCATGGCAGAAATGGGAGAAGAGTCTTTGAGGCAGGCAGGTGGCCTATTTTGTAGGGGAAGAAACTGGGAAAGGTGCTGGAGTGCTCTGTGATAAGTCACATAGAGCCTGGTGACCTCAGACTGGGCTGAGTTTGTTCATTTCACTCTTGGGCCATGGTTCCAGTTTTTCTGTCTTATAGTACTCTGTCATTCAGTTTCCTAGTCATGTGCGTCATAGGGGGAAATAT